ACCCCTTCCATTAACCAATTCAATTGCTCTACTTCTTTCAACCTCTACTGTGATATCTCCTATGACCAGATTCTTACTTACTGACACAAGAGACAATCCAATAGTGGCAGGATGTAACAAGTTATTTTGAACAGTCTCAAAGCAGTCCAACAGGAGCAACTTTCCTGCATCAGAGTTTTTGCCAATTCCAAAAGCCTTATCAATATGCTTTTGAATCCCAAAAGCATCCCAATGGCAACTACACTCCTCTGCCATGACATTTTCCATCTTTCCAAAACTGTCAATGTTATACAATGCAAGGTTCACAATTTCGTACCGTACCAGAGTTTCGACGTTCGCTCGATACGATACGATACGATACTGTATACCGAGCGGTATACCGTTCAGTATACCGCTCGATATATATATATATATATATATTTATATATAAAAGATTATATATATTTATATTTATATTTATATTTTTTTATAAAAGGCGACGTCACATCGCCTCGACGACGTCGCCTTTTCCTTCTCCCACGTGGGGCGACGTCGGCTCGTATATATATATATATCGTTTCGTCCGGTAACGGGCGGTCCGTGTACCGGTCAGCTGACGAACCGGTACGTACCGCCCGTACCGGGCCGTATTATTCGAAATTGCATACCTTGATACAATGATCTCACATCAACAGAAACAGCAATATTTTTGTGCAAGTAACCTTGCAAATTTTGGTAGACAGAACACTTGTGTATTTTGAAGAGGTGATTCACCTACTATTGATCTGTATAGTCCCATTTTTGAGTTAATATAGCATTTCTTTCACCCCAGAAACAAAAAAAAAAGCATTTGAACCTTCTTGTGAAATAAAAAGGTCTAAAATCTCAAGAAACAGACCTTTGTACTAGTTGGAGAATGAATGTGAAACACCGTGTGGTGGAAGTCGGTATATGCATTAGACCTTGCACCTGTACCAAGAAGTTTCTCACGCTTTTTACTTCCAAGAAATGCAACATGCTCGATCATATGTGCGATCCCCTGCTCATCTTCTTCCTCATCAATTGATCCAACATGAACTTCCATATGTGCCTCAAACCTGTAAATTCAAAATACATAGAGAGAAACGATAAGATCCTACATTTCCAACCAAATATTATTTCCAATGTAGCTAAGTAAAACTTTTTCATATCAACTCAAATAAATATGATGAAGAATTCGAAGAGGAATTTTATAATTAGATCCTAATTAACTTGATTAAAAAAGCAACTCTAAATGACTTAGACAAGTCGTATATGCTAACAGAAATACACTGACACAGGTCTGGATGAAAATGTATGTCGAAAGAACTCCTAGTGGATAAGAGCATAAGGCTAGAAGCATGATGGGATAGAAAATATGGTTAAAACTTAAATGTAAGAGATTAAAAAGACAAAGAAGATAGATATAAAGGTTGACCAATTGAAAGTAAATATAGCACAAGGATCCACATACATTGACTAAAGGCACAGACTCATTAAAAGAGGACTGGTTTGCCACAAAACATAAAGCAGCAAAATGTCAACTAATGAGTGGCATGAAAGAAAGCTGATTTATTTTCCCCAAAAGCAACTCGTGTTCTTAAGCAGTTTATGGTAATATGGTCTAAATATACCTACCAATAAATTGTGCTGACAAACTCAAGTACAATATATCAAATACAGTAGACATGAGTCACATGACAACAATGATAACAAGTTAACATCTGAACCGAGCTACTAAGGTCAAGCACTATGTATCAAATAAGAGATGAGTCATATAACTACAACAATAACAACGTGAGGAAAAAATTAAAAATGTACAATATTTTCTTGGCACACGAATGACACCTTAAGCAGTAGGATTAAGTTCCAAGCAGAAAAGATTTGTGTGGCTGCCAGCTGTGGTATAATATTGGGAAATAGTATATTGCAGGTTTGTGATTATCAGTTATTCAGCTTAACTACCATTGAATTGTCATAAACAGAACTAAAAGAATCAAACTTGTGCTGATGGCATACCTGTTCGCTGGAACTTTATTTGGTAATATAATATATCGCAATCCGTTTTTCAGTTGCCCTCGGTGCAGTTTTGGATGAGAAGGAAGTGGAGCATTCAGAAATCCTTCTAGTTCGGCATTCTCCGCCTCTGGGTCCCAGAAAGTAGAACCTGATTTTTCAAGGACTGTATCTGACAAGGTACTTGCTACATGTGGTTCCTCAGGACCTAAAGCATGCAAAATATGAGCTAGTTTCACCTGAAAAGAAACCATATAAAAATTAACTCTCTATATGCTACATGAGTTCAAATAAATATAGTAAAGAGCTAAGGAACACTGGTTTTGAATATTTGAAGGCATATAAATTCAAGTTGAATTTGTAAATGGTCATCTTCCCTTGTATATATTATTTACCACTTTTAAATTTAGAAAAAAATAAAGGATATATTAGGGTCGTTCATCGACAATTTAACAGTGTATTGCATCAGTTCTTTGCATGGGCATCTATGTTTCGCACATCAACAGATTTTTCTCCATGTAAAAACATCAAAGGCATGGTAAATATTTCCTGGCATGCCTAACTCTGGAAATACATATTTTTGCTGTAGAAGATGAATCAACCATAACAGAAAGCATCAACATGTCCTCATATACCATGCTGATGTTCATGGATAAAAAGTTATTAAGCTGAACATAATGCCATAAATGCAAGGTTGACTTTTGATACAGTTCAGAAGCCTATAAACAATTAGAAAGGTGGTTTACTTGTTTACTGCTACTTCATCTTATTTCCTCCACAAAGAATCAAAACTTTGCTTGAAGAGAAAACACAATCCTAGATGACTACCTCATTAGGTTCCAAAGTGGAGTATCAAAACAACTGATGCCTAGATACGGACAATTGCAAGAACTTGGAAGATTAACTTACTGATCTACCCCCGACTAAGTGCTTCTGAAACAGACAAGCTGATTTGTCCAGAAAGACACCTGGTGTGTATCTTGTACGATAACTCCTTGATCGATTGTGTCCTTGGAAACAAGAAACACATCCAGGATATCCTCGAGATAGCCCTTCAACAACTCTTCCATCAATCTCATCAATATATTGCTTTGAAATGCCACATGGTTGTGTGGTGATGAATTGCTTTTCCTTTGCTCGAAAATGTATACCTCTGTATTCATGGAAATGAAAGAGTATAAACAGCCAATCAAAATCGAGTGGGCAAGCTTATTCCAAAGACTATGAACACCAGTGATATAAGCACCATCAGACAACAGAATGCCATGAATTTGTGAGTAGAACACAGTAATCATTGCATCTGGGATAACTACAGAGTATAGGCAGAACTTCTAAGCATCGATACATTCGCAACAATCAGGAAGTTGAAAAAGAAAATGAAATTAGTTATTGTCAGATGACAAACCAATGACTTCCACAAATGGCATTAGTTTGTACCAGCAATCTTTGGATGACAAATGATAGACTTTAACAAGTTAGATGCAATGTGGACATACACAAAACTGTGCAGAAACATGATAATTGACCACACAAGACATGAAATCCCAACTTTTCTATTGCCAACAAAGAGAAACAACAATTTGATTAAAAACATTCTTATGTGTTAGAAACCATTTTCCTTTTGTTTAACTATTGTCCGTATAACAAGGTCAATGCCTGAACTTAAAAGTTAAATGGTTGTAGAATTCATGCATGTCTGATCAATTTATAACCTACAAAAGACACCATAAACCAACAAAGACATAAGTTAGAAAGTCATGTGGAGAAAGTTATTGATAAAGTGGTACGTCATATTCAACCTTGATTTGCATTCGGTTTTCGTTTTGATTAATTCTCTCATTATCAGGACAAATAACTTGAATGCCATCGAGGCCATGGCTAATAATTAACAGATGAAAATACCAGCTGAATTTCTAGCACTATGCTGCAAAATGAAAGACGGACCAATTGACCAACAAGAAGCAAGTCGCAGGATGCATTCGTTTTTTGAAGTGATATATTTTTTTCTTCTTTTTTGAATAAAAAAGTGCATAGTGCTTAAGATCTTCACAAACCATACATCCTTGACAACCGTGCAATATTTATCAGTGATTTCAAGCAAATATGCAAGTTAGATATTACTTTCACCATATGACATTACATCACCGCTGCAAATGTACAATGAAAAGAATTATTATGTAGAAAGAAACAAACATTACCAAGCCCCAAATCTTGAAGCAAGTTCGCCGAAAAATATATTGAGGCTCATGAAAGATGCTTTACAGATTGTGATAACATTTCTATCATTTTTTTCACCTTTTTCTGCTAGACAACTTGAAGCAGGAAAGCAAAGTGCAATAAGATGCAGAGTCATACAGCTGTGATTTTAGTTCCATTCACATTGAGGAGTGAAGTATGAACTTTAACAAGTCTACAATTATTTCTAGTCATCTACCATTAAAAAATTTCCAAAAGTTTTACCTATCTTATTTTTCACATTCCAATTGCTAGTGTTCTACAGAATCTTGAAGTCCATGTCATTAAGAATATCAATACTTCACAGTTCACACTTAAAGTCTTGAAAGCAAAAGATCTGATTTGGCGAGTGACAATTACATGAATTTGCATATTATGTCATTATCAAGTTCTGAAGAGGCATTTTTGCCTAGAGTTTTAGCCCTTATCACCAGTTGATCATGGATTTCTGCTTGTTGGGGACATTATGGTGCTCT